ATATATATATATCCATGTAGTGGCGCATATGCTACTGTCTTCACTTACCGATAACGAGCTGGGGAATGCGGATCGGTGTTAACTTGATCGATAAGTGATTCAATTGTTCGATGCCCGCACCAGTTCTCAAGCGTAACCTTGCCTTACTTTATCATGCTCGTGTATTGTAAAACCTTACCATAGCCCAGCCCAAGAAAAACATCTGCTCGTTATCAAATTCTTCCAGACCTTCGATCCTCTCTTCTTGCCCATGCTTTTGCAGATAAGTTTTGTAAGCCCAAACACACATTTCTTGGCTTGCTGACTAGATTTAGAATGAGACACTTACCTCGTACGCTAGCCTCACTCCCCCGTTGTCGGCAATATTTTCCGACAGAGTCAACTCGCCATTAACATTAAGACCAGTTCCCGGCACCTTAATACACGTTTGTTAATGCTAAAACTATTCGCCAGTAAGCTGCGCAACCTCAATCTTCCCGTATTGGTCGATGAAACATTGAGCTCGCTGCACATATCTTTTCTTCACTTCCTCATTCCACCATTCCTTGCGTTTGCCGAAGGCGTCATAGAAACGCCCTATAAGAGAACTAAGGAATTCATGATTAAAAACTGTGTGCATGGATAGTCAAAAGTTCACTAAACTAATTACCGTCATCATCAAAACCGTGTGTAATTTCATGTCCGACTACTCCTCCTATACCACCATAGTTCAACGCTCTAAAATAACATGCTACTTAAGAAGCTAAACTCATATGAATCGGGAGAAGGGGACTTTTAATAATGTTTATCTGGAAGATTACTCATCGAGGAGCCACATCATATTTGATTGATTCAAACTTAGTATTCTTTCAGCTTTTTTACTATATTTTCACGCCTGCCTGCCACGGTGCAAAAGTTTCGTTGGTGCATGGGACATATGCAACGTTGAAACTTTTGTGTTTTGATTCAATGAGCAAACACCTGTTTGTAGTAAGGAAAATGTATTACGTGCTGACCTTTTTTGCGCGTGTTGCTCTTCGAGACTTTGGAAGAAATACATTGAGTATATATCATATTCGCTACGTCAAACTGCCGTCAAGATCACTTTCGTTGGGTAATGGAGTTGTAGCATGAGTGCGCGAATATGGCATCTCCAACGTACAACATATTGATAATGCGATTTATCTCAGAACTGAGCTAGCTTCAAAGTCAAGGAAATTTTGCGCCTTCCTACAATTGACGTTCAATTTGATAACTAGGTTTTCTCCCGATAGAAATTGAAAGTTGTTCTAACTAAAAACTAGCCTTGGGAATGTGTTATGAAAATAGGGAGGTT